ACCAACGGACTTTTGGTCTGTAGATATTTTGTGCTGTTGTTGTGTTTGAGTTAGTCTTGTCCCATGCCTAAATTTCTGCCTGTTGTGTGGGGTCCTCGGTGGACCAAATGAGTGTCAGAGAGGCCCCAGTGGCAGATATGCTCTGCGTATGACAGTAGTGTAACAGTGAATCCAGTGTGTTCTCCTCTCTTTGGTTGTGCATTAATGTGCTAGTTCCTTCTTTCACATTGCACAGCCGCATCTCATTCCAGGTTGTGAAATACATATCTGAGCAATGTTCGGAGAAATCGTTTACAATCTGCAGCTTCTTACACACTGAACTTATAAGTCCAATTCTATCCAACCTTTTGACATTGTAACCATACATTTACATGACATGTTTGCAGATTGGTACATGTTACTATATTCAGCAAATGACATGTCATTTTTCCTATTTGTCAGAGTTAACCTTAACTGTATTTGTGAGATAGTGTGTAGCATGTATGAATTGTGAAACAAGGTGCACTCCCAATATGTATTTAAACAAACCAGTTTAGACCAGGACATTGGAGTCAAAACAGGGAGTCACACGGATATAAATCCTTTGGTCTGAAATGTCTGAAACACCAAACAATACAATCAGAGCAGCTGAAGACCCAAAGATGAGCAAAAGAGGAGGAACGATGAGGAGGTAAGAGCAGCTGGCTTGGAGTTCCAGAAGGGAAAGGAGCCTCTCCCATTGTATGTTCCTTGTTTATATCTCTGACCTGTTAGCAGAGAACTGGAAGGGGGTTCGTGGGTTTTGTTGATCTAACAACGATTCCCTCAAACAGAGAACAGAAGAACAGCAGGAAGACCAGTTCTCTAATTAGAACCTGCCTTCTTCTCATCTTCTTCTTTTCATCTCTCTGCTTCCAGTGAGGGACAGATGAACATAGGTCACTATGGTGGTATTCTAAATGGTACACTTTTTATGTCAATGGAGTATATATTTTGCATACAAAAAACAAAGTTTTATAAGAAAATATTTCTTTAAAGTCCCACCATGGGAAATTCCAATCTTACAGCAGCAAAGTGGATAGAGAAAAAAAAAACAGTATAAAGACAGTATACAAAAACAGTATGAAAAAAATAATATAATATAATATAATATAAACACTGTACAAGAGAAAAAAACAGTAAAAAACCACAACAGATAACACAATAACACAAATACTAGCAGCAGTTGCACATGGGCAATAGATTGTACAGTAATTATTGTCCCTTGATTATTGCACATTGCACCAAAAACAAAAGAAAAGGTGATTCCATGTGTCTTGGCCCATGGAAAAACTTTTCAACAAATGTCACTCTGTCACAACTCTGGAAATGCACCTTGGAATGTTGTTATGCAATAAAGTATGAATTTTACAGCTTGACAACTTGTCATTCATTCTTAAGTGTGACAAACTTGTAATCCAAATTTCTTCCTCACACCACAGGGTTCAAACTTCCACATCTCGCGCAGGGAGCGCCATGGCAACGTGTTTAAGACCCACCTGCTAGGGAAGCCCGTCATCCGGGTGACGGGCGCGGAGAACATCCGCAAGATCCTGCTGGGCGAGCACAGCCTGGTGTGCACCCAGTGGCCCCAGAGCACCCGCATCATCCTGGGACCCAACACCCTGGTCAACTCCATCGGAGACCTGCACAAGAGGAAGAGAAAAGTAAGGAATTATATCAGTGTAGGTCAACAGGCAAAGCAAGAGATCACTTGTTTCAGTAATCATCTTGCTTGTGTGTCTCATACGTTTTTTAATTTTACCAGACCTACCCAGTGTGTACGTTCTATCATACTCTAGTATCCTATCGTATCCTCTACACCCTGTCCTGTCTTATCTCCTACATCTTTCCTTTACTTCTATCCTGTCCTAACCTACCCCACCCTGTTCTCCTCTTTAGTGAGAATCTACTGAAAGGTGTTGACTGTAGTGTACAAGGTTTTTAACTTTTTATGACTCCTCTCCCTTTGTTTCCTTAACCCTTTCAAGATCCTGGCCAAAGTATTTAGCCGGGGGGCTCTGGAGTCCTACCTGCCCCGGCTGCAGGATGTCGTCAAGTCTGAAATCGCCAAGTGGTGCTTGGAGCCAGGTGCCATCGACGTTTACAGTGCCGCCAGGTCCCTGACGTTCCGTATCGCCATCAGGGTCCTGCTGGGTCTGCAGCTAGAGGAGGAGCGGATAGTCTACCTGGCCCAAATTTTCGAGCAGCTGATGAACAACCTCTTCTCGCTCCCAATAGATGCTCCGCTCACTGGGTTACGCAAGGTGAGACAGCATGAAAAAATCATTGCAAACCTGATAAGTTCATCCATCCGGTTGACTGACGCCTGGAGGTGTCAGACCTTTCTGACATTACAAGGCCAATTTCAACATGCAGTAGCTATTACAAATGTTATGAAACTGAAGGAATTGAAGGTGAATGTGCAAAATTAGTTTCAGGTCTTGAGTGATCTGGAGAACACTCACACACAAGTACCAGGTTACTGCAAATGAAAAAATTTGTTGTCGGATTACAAAGGCAAATGTCATGGATGGAGGTAGGGGTGGAAAATCTAACGGTTTTAAATCGAGATCTAAGGTATCCAGGATCTACTTTTCAGGTGAATCGGTGAGATTGTGGTATTTAAAGGTCCAGTGTGTAACATTTCGGAGGATTTATTGGCAGAAATGGAATAGATTTTTATAACTATGTTTTCATTAGTGTATAATCACCTAAAAATAAGAATCGTGTTTTAGTTACCTTATAATTGGCTGTGTTTATCTACAGATGCCCCAAGTTGCCTTCCATGGAGTCCGCCATGTTTAACTGCTATGTTTCTACAGTAGCCCAGAACAGGTGGTGTTTTTAGTGCATTTCACTGCCACTGTAGTTTCTCCTGGGTGTTTGAAAGGTGAGGGTGAAGCGAGGGAGTTGCAATCTGCTACTACACCACTAGATGACAATAAATCCCACACACTGGATCTTTAATGTCTTCTAGCTTCAGTTTATAAGCTTTACCATAACGTCATTTAGTAGCATATCTGCACTATGTGAACAAAGAAATAGAACGATGTAGCCAACCAGATGGCTATGCTGATCGGACGAATTACTTCAGGTGAATCTTCCTTGGGTCACGCATTGTAAACAATGTGGTTAAGATCTGAGTACTTGAAAAGTGTTCTTATATGATTCTGTTATCTTATGGCTTCTGTTTACAACTTCATATCAAACAAACAAACTATTTTGAAACCTGTGTTGTAGCTTAATATTGTGTTTACCAGTACAAATTCATTTCAAGTCTGACTATAGTCTACAGGGCATTTCAAAATGGAGAAAAAAAAATCAAGAGCAATTTAGTTTCTAGATTTTGACTGTGATTAAATAGACCGTAATATATATATAATAATGTCAGAGGTCAAGGCTTGTGACCTTTCTTTTGCTGTTGATTGGAAACTAGTAGTTTAATGGAAGTTATATAAGTTGATAAATGCTCCCAATCCTCGATAAGTACTTCTAATTTTAAGTTTTGATTTTACAAATAGTGAAGAGTAAAATCAGTTAAATTGATTGGAATAAAGTCCCCCAATATTATGAAACAACTCGTCTCCAACTTTATATATATCAAATGAACGGTTACTACTAAATAATGATGAACTAATTATAACATTTTGGTTGTCTGTCCAGGGGATAAAAGCCAGAGAAATCTTGCATGCCAACATGGAGAAAATCATTGAAGAAAAGATGGAGCGGCAGCAGACGGAGGAGGAATATCACGATGCCTTCGACTACATGCTGTTCAGCTCCAAGGAGCACGGCCATCAGCTCAGCATCCAGGAGCTCAAGGTACCAGAGTGACGAACACACTGTGACTTAATGTGGGACATTTATGACATTAGTTACAATAGTATCAGACTACACAACATCCAGATACGGACATACTTCCTGTTGAATTCTGACCAGTTTTAGCTTGTGGTTTTCGTGACTTGTGTGATCAGGCAGAAGGAGCCAGATATAGACCAGTTGTGGCCTCATGCTATGCTACTATTACTCACCACAATGCTAATTTTTGCTCCAGCTAGTCTGTCAGTTGTATCGGCACTCATAACGGGCGGGGCTTAAAGCAAACATGGGTGGTGCTAACATTGATATAAATTGATCAGAATTTGCTGTATTTGTTAGAAAACTATTTACAGACAGACATCAATGATCACTTGATAATTGAGTAAGAGAACTACTTACAGAACAATTTTCAAAAGTGTATATTGACTGATGATACATCATCTGTACCGATACTGTATATTAAAAAAATGTTTGAAAAGTTATCATTACTTGGCTCATTAAACAGTCATCATCAGTTCTTTATAAACCAGAATGGTTCTGCCACAGTAAAAGCATAGAAAATCCTCCAGTATTTCTTGCAGAGTGATATTCTTCCACCTAGTTGATCACATCTGTTCAAGAGACACTTCATTTTGAGTTTGAAGCAAATTAATTTAGTCCTTAATTAAGATTACATTATATCATTCCATCTATCCACCTCCATTCTTGCAGGAAACAGCAGTAGAGCTGATATTCGCCGCTCACTCCACCACAGCCAGCGCATCCACATCGCTGGTTCTGCAGCTTCTTCGCCATCCAGCGGTGGTTGAGAGTGCCAGAATGGAGCTGGAGGCCGAGGGCCTCGGCCACGAATCCAATAGCAGTCACAGCCCATCTGGTGTCACCACGGAGAAAGAGGAGGAGGATGCTAATACGGAGACAACCTACCTGCTGAATGGAGGCTGTCAGAATCACCAGAATCACAGTGGTGGTTTTCCACAGTCCCAGTCTCATATACCCTACCTGAGCCTGGACAAGCTGAGCCAGCTGCGCTACATCGACTGTGTTGTGAAAGAGGTGCTCCGCTTCTTGCCGCCAGTCTCCGGTGGTTACCGAACAGCCCTACAGACATTTGAATTAGACGTAAGTTCAAGTTTGTGGTAGGGTTACACCTTTCACATGCAGGCCTTTGGTTTGGGTTAGTTTTCTTTTTCCTGTGATGAACGGCCATAAGACCTCACATATATTCTTTAGCTACAAAAGGAATTTAAATCTAAGGTTCTTTCTGGAGCCATTGGCACCAACATTTAATAACCATACTGGGAGAAATCTACAGGAGAACAGACACTACAAAGACCCTCTTTTAAACCAACGAGTACTATGTCAGACTCCAACGCAGCGACATTTGATGTTTTAAAGACAAAAACAACTTAATTTCCTGGATAAAACCTGTGTAACAACTTCTAGTCACTTCTATTGAAGCTGTCTAAAGGAATTGTGGGAAATGTACCATTTTTCCTAGGGTGACAAAGTCATAACCCGCCTTAATCTTGGTCTGATTGGCTAGTACTCGTTGGCTAGTCCAAGTCATGTGACTCAAGTCCACACTTTAGCTTATTAAGGTTCTGTGGTTAATGTTGAACAGGACTGATTTATAGTCATATTACATTATATGTGATTTTAGAGATTCATTTTTGGGAGATTTATGACGCTTAGAAAATTTTGCCTGGCTACGCTGTAACGGACTAAAACTTACTCACATACAGAGTTGTGTGGGCTGTGCTGACAAACTGCCCTCTTATGGCCTCATCTCATGGCCTTAACTAGCCCTTTGCTACCCTCAGTGTGCCGAAAGGACAATTGGAGTTTAAAACGATTGCAGAAGAATTCCCAGAATACTATTGTAATTCAAACAAATTTAATTAAATTTTATTTGTANNATAACAGAAGTTATCTCAGGCCACTTTTCAAATAGAGCAGGTCTAGACCGAACATAACATTATTTACAGAGACCCAACAATTCCCACCATGAGCAAGCACTTGGCGACGACGGCAAGGAAAAACTTCCTTTTAAGAGGCAGAAATGCATCTTGTTCTCAGGGTATAGATAATTGGGGTTAGGTTATAAAGAAGTCTGGATTGACGGAATGAATGAAGTTTAAAACGAAAAGGCATTTGTTGTGTTAAAAAATATTTTTTGTCTTAATTTATTGATTTATGTCTAATTTCACAGGGCTACCAGATCCCCAAAGGCTGGAGTGTAATGTACAGCATCCGGGACACCCATGAGACTGCAGCGGTGTTCCAGAGCCCGGAGCTCTTTGACCCAGACCGGTTTGGCCCAGACCGGGAGGAGAGTCGGTCGTCCCGGTTTAGCTACGTGCCATTCGGTGGTGGCGTGCGGAGCTGCATTGGAAAAGAGCTGGCACAGATCATCCTAAAGACTCTGGCTGTGGAGCTGATTGGGACTTGCAAATGGACTCTGGCCACGGAGAACTTTCCCAAGATGCAGACAGTCCCGATAGTGCACCCAGTAAACGGGCTGCATGTGCATTTCACATACAACTACCCACTTTAGATACAAATACAGACTGACAGACTTTCCAAAAAACAAGAGGCAATTTAACCTTCAGTCTGCTTCTGGAAAAACTCTAAGCCCAAGATAGGAGACACAAAAACCTCACCGGGCCTGATGGTGCTGTTCAGACCCCCTTTCATTTCCACAGACATGAAGAAAGGGTTTACATTGCTGGTTTGGAGCACTTCTGGAACACATCTCTTCAGTGGTTTGGTCCAAACCTAAGAAAACCACTTTCTGTTTTAGCACAAGTACATTTTTAATCACCTAACATTCTCACCTTCAGCAGTTTTTATTGTTCCCCAGCTTTTGCTATCCTTTACATGCATTTTTAAATTATTTTTGTATTGAAGTATAGTGCATATCAGCGAGAAAAGTAAGTCTGTGAGTGAGTCTTTCCTTGCTTATTTTCAAACAGAAGATCCAGGTATTCCCTGCTGAAGTGCCCACTGAATGGACTGCATGTACACTTCAATTACAACAGCGAAAGTTTATAGTCAGAGTGGTTTAGGTACAATAAAACCCTCTCACCTTCACCTTCAGAAATTTCATATTTTGTTGCCTTTCAGTAGTATTCCTGATGTGCATCTGTGGGAGTGCGAGCCACACTATCTTTCTTGGCTCATGTTCAGCTGGAGAAGCCGGATTTGACCTGCACACAGCAAGTGCCTCGTGAACAGACTTCAGGTTTATTTAAACTAAAATCAATCAAAATCTAAAATCTACATCACATCTACTGTAGAGAACAGGAGACAAAGTTTTTCCATGTATCCATAGATCTAGGTTCTTGGCTGTGACAAAGCTCCAAGTCCAGGGACAAATATGCAACGCAAAACTGTCAGCGGTGGTTTGCACCATTTTATTGTGATACACACTTACACCAAGTGGTTTATAGATGATGAAATCCAATTAGCTTTGGGGCCTTTATCTTTTGTACCTCTTAGTAGCTTTGCATTAGCCTTTTTGAAAACTGAAAAAATGTAATTCTTCCAGTCCAGTGACGGCAGGATATGGGGAATTAACATGATTTACAGACATGGCTTACAGACCCTGTGTTTGTTTGTTGTTCCTTCCTTCAGTTGGCTCCATTTACATCTTATAACCCCTGAACCACCTGTGAGCAAGGCCTGCTAGCTCCATGGAAATATTGCCTGTGGAGAAACAAAAAGATAAAAGCTCTTCATTCAATCTAAAAAAAGGGTGACAGTTAGTTCATTAGAACCTGCTTCTGTAATGGAAAAATATCTGAAATATTTTGGAAAATATTTCAAGACCCATGTTCATTAAAGGAGGGACTAGACTCAGTTTTCTTTGCAATGATCTCCACCACTAAATCACTTTGACTGATAGAACTTGCACTTGACTTCGACACATAAATCCCACAACCAGGAACTACCCGAACATCAAGGTCAAAATATATTCAAACTGTTCTGTTAAATATGAATGTAATATATATATCATTAACAGTGCTATTATGTGTGTATCAAATGAAGTAGCATTATGAATAAGCTGTATTTAAAATGCAGATGTATCATTTCTGTTTTAACTTTTACTCTGTAACAATATTTGCTGTAATTATGAATAGATAGAGACACTAACCTGTAATGTAAAGGACTGTCCATAAAACCTTGTTTTACTGCTAGAACATAGAAATCTTTCATTGTTTAGAGCAGAATATATTGAGAGTAACGTTATTATTATTATTATTATTGTTATTATTATTGGTCTAATTTTAGGACTGTTTCTGTGTTGGTCTTGAAGCCTAATAGACGCGCTGTGAAATCTTATGTACGGATGGATTCGTGGAAGGAGATAGCACTTTCTCTGCTTTAAGGAGTCTGTATATATTTGTCCTGTTTATGCATTCATTGAGTGTGTCAGATGTAGCTGCTGTACAGTTAATGTAAAGAGTAAATTAGAAGATGTTAAACAAAAACAGCTGTTTCAGGAGTTTGTCATGTCTTGCTTTCAACAATGACTATAATATGTTCAATATGTTTGACCAAAATTCCTAATTCAATAATTGCACAACATTTTTATAATTCATGATTTTCTTTATATAGGAACATAAAATCCTGACATGGTGTTTTTATTAATATTGTTGGATTCATTTAGTTTGGTATTGGGGCGAATCAGGTGGGTGGTTTCTGGAGCTCTAGCCACGAATGTTTTTGTCAAATGGCCCAAATATTTTAGGCCTTTAAAGTAAGTTCAGCTTTGTGTCATTTTGCCTCAGTCTGGACTGGACTGAAATCAATGAAGCAAAAGTTCCATTATTGGGCAAATATCGCCATATATAGAGCCGCCCTAACACTGTCATGAGGGGTTGTTGTCTTGTGTGTGGTGTTTCATTCAGTTGTGTCACCTAAGTGAGCAAGCTTGCTACCTAGCTTATTAGCTTATGGATACAATTAAGCTAAACATTCATTCTGTGAACTCCAATTCATCAAAAATAGGTTATAATAATATACAATAGTTACAATAATAGACCATCTTTGCCACTTTTTAGGTACTAGGAGTTACAATTAGTTATCCTCAACATTTCCTGTGTTATTGTTTCTGAATTATGAAGACAGTTGGAGAACAATTAGATTCAAAATAGTATATACATTCTGGGGGAGAAAAAAGTCATACACAGTCATCTCCACACCAAAAACTGAACTCATTCACGTTTGCAATACACTCTCAACACATCAAAATCAGCTCAAGAATGTTCAAGAACAGTAGAGATGTTATGTTTTTTCTTTCA